GGGGGGGGGGGACTCTGGTATCTGGTACTCTTTGAGATTACGTTGTTCAATTCAATTTCTTCTTGCACGAGGCCAAGAAGGCTGCGTCAAAGGAGCCATGATCTGGAAAGCCTCAGTCTCACCGCGATTGAGTTTTGGGTGGTTGAAGCCATCTGCCTGTCGCTCCCCACCAACACGTCTGAAACATATTTGAGAAAATAACCACTTAGCCGTTGGTGACTCAACCACCAACAGGGTAAGATGTCATTAGATAGAGGATTAGCTATATGATCATCGCCCCGGAAATAAAACCGAGACATTTCCCTCTCAGCTGTAGGGTAACAAAAATCAACCATTCAGAGACTCAACTCTAACTCAACAACACCCTTCGCAATCACATCAATTAATAATGCCCTCCCATCAACGTTACAATGCCCCAGACTCCCAAACCACCAAATATCACATGTAAATGTAAATTACAAATCCAAGTACCATATTCATCATCACATCCGCCGAAGACGGAGTCAAATCCGGCTTCACGTCCGCAGACAACCCGGTCCATCCGCAACCTCTATGGCATTTATAAGTCACCACAGGGAAAAAAAAACACATTATGCGCGCTAATTAAACCCTTTTCTGCATCAATGTGGCGTCTAGAACCCTTTATGGTGGTTCCATTTTCTTTTCGCAACTGTCCACTCATCCGAATCAGCCAATCATGCTCTCTGCTCGACCGTTTCGCCGCAGAAACTAGCACGAGAAAACATAGGAAGAGTCATTTACGACCCTCATAGTCTATCCTCTATCCCCGGAATTTTTTAAGCTGGTTCTTTCTTTATTTCTCCATCATATCCATTATTTCACAACTACCGGCCTTGGCTTCAACTACCCCAGAGTTTTCGAAGCACGTTGTTAAATCTTCTTCTCTGATCTGATCCTCCCGGAGCGGCCCCACTATTCCGTCTCCGGTTCCCGGAACACGGATCTTTCGCATCTGCTGATTCTCTGTTTCAGCCTGTGGCTTCTCCTCTTCACAACTCTCAACAACTTCTAGAGGGAATCTTCATCTAAAATGCTTCCCTCTATTCCAGTCCTAGCCGAGTACGGCATCTCCCCAACCCATGGCTTCCTCCCGGATACTCTTCCCTTGACCCGTCTTCCGGATCCATACTACAACAAATGGGAAGCCATCGCCGCAAACCTCCAGGCTCTTATTCTCAGCCGTAGGCTACGCGGTGTTATCGACAGATTGCCAGTCCTGTCGACAATCGGTCTTGAACATGACGCTGAGTGGCGACGTGCCTATTCGCTACTAGGCTTCATGGCCCATGGATATATCTGGGGTGGTGATTCACCCTCAGATAGGCTTCCAGCATCTATCTCTGTTCCTTTATTGGAGATCTCTGATCATCTGGAAGTACCACCTGTTGCCACGTATGCGGCTGTTTGTTTATGGAACTTTAAACCCCTCTTTGTTGATGAGGATATCGATAATCTCGAGAACCTCGCCACTTTGAACACATATACTGGAGCTCTTGATGAATCGTGGTTCTACCTTGTTTCAGTGGCTATTGAGGCTCGTGGTGCGCCGATCATTCCTTTGATGTTGACGGCTATTGCTGCTGCTCGTCATGGAGACAGTGCTGCTGTTACGCGCTGTCTGCGCACTTTCGCAGAGCGTCTCACAGACTTGACGAATATTCTTCAGAGGATGCACGAGAGTTGTGATCCTACTATCTTTTATCACCGAATTAGACCTTTCCTTGCTGGAAGCAAGAACATGGCAGAGGCTGGCCTCCCCAATGGCGTTATTTACGAAGATGGCACCGGCACTGAGGAATATCGACAATACAGCGGTGGCAGCAACGCTCAGAGCAGTCTGATCCAATTCTTCGATATAATTCTTGGAATCGAGCATCGTCCAACAGGCGAGTCTCGCGATCCTTCTTCAGACACCGATCGAGGCCGTGCTGCGAACCGACACAACTTCATCATGGAGATGAGACGCTACATGCCCGGTCCTCACGCCCGCTTCCTCAACGACGTATCCAACGTCGCCAACATCCGCGAATACGTCGAATCTCACCACTCAGACAAACAACTCTGCCTCGCCTACGACGCCTGTCTCGCCATGCTAAGCGCCTTCCGCGACAAGCACATCGCCATCGTTACACGCTACATCATCAACCCCTCCAAACAAGTCCGCGCGCGCAGCCGCTCCCGCAGTCCCGAAGTGACCCGCAACAAGCTCAACCTCGCAGTCGCATCGCGCAAGAACAAGGAGAACCAGAAGGGCACGGGCGGTACGGCTCTCATTCCGTTCTTGAAGCAGGCGAGGGATGAGACGGGCGAGCCGGCGGTTGAGGAGTGGACGAGGCGGTTTATGAAGAGGAAGATGCAGACGGAGGGGAGGAATGATTTCTTCTTGGGGAAGACGTTGCAGGACGATGTTAGTCTGATGGAGGATGTGGAGATTAAAGGTCTTGCTGGGTCGTGGACTATGGATGATGAGATTGGTGGTATTTGCCAGTATTAGAGGAGGACTTCACACCAAGGAAAATGATGATTGATGGGTAAATTAGATGGGTTGGGTAAGGGAGTAATTGGATAATTCATGGTAAATGCATATGATCAACTCATTGCAAGCGTTGGGAATAGATGAACAATACTACAGTGATACTGCAATCGCTTTTTTGCTATTAAGTTGAAATATGCTCATAATCTTGAGCAATGTTAAATAGAAGGACAATTTCCCTTCAAATTAGCCTTACCAGTGTTGCTGTTCCGTGCCTTCGATAAATTTGTCCTTTGATGCCTATACCTCTGATCGTTGTCAGATCAATATACCTTATACCATACCTAACAAAAACAACCTGCCGAGGCCTGACTCTGACAGGATTAGTTACTGAGTTATACATACTCGTGTACCAACCGTCCAAAATAATGATCCCAAACGCCGAGACATTATGCTCTTGTCCCATGTACCAATACAAGGGCATTGCCGTGATAAACATAACGCCAGTCGTCATACTCATGCTCATGCTCATGCTCATGCTCATACAATACAATCTTCAGTCATCAACACATCTCGCCACACACATTCTGCTTTGCTGATGCCACTTCGCTTCATTGGGGGTTATGGGTGCGTATCAAATCATTTACAACTCTTCTCGCCGCATCTTGCGCGTCTGTCACTAACCACCACTGCAGCCTCCCCTCCTCATCCATCAGCCACGCCGAAACAATGAGCACAAGCAAACAGCCATCAGTAAGGAAGCCTCAGTACTTCAAAAAGCTTCTATCCTCACAAACTGTGTTGCTTGTCTGTTTGTTTGCCGTTCTGTAGGATGCCATCTTCCGCATCGAACGAATCCCTCATGCGTCATTGCAATCAGAAGTCCGTTGCCCACAAGAAATAGCATCCTATCCCCTATGATCATTAATCATCTGGCCTTCAGCCCACCACTCTCACGCACGCATCCACTGGTCTTTTCTGCCGCCAGGCGACAACACAAGCTCTCCCGAGGCTTAATCTCACCCGCATCCTAGCGGGGACATCTTCACTGGTCAAAGCCTGAGTCTCTGCGCTTTTCTTTTCCGAGCTCAACAACCAACACATCGCCTCGCGGGGTATATCCTTCGCAGGGTGCCGTAATTTTCGAAAGTCGTTAAGAGCCACGTGACAGCGTCTGTCGTTCAAATCGTAGTAGTAGTCCTTGGGTGAATGATCCAAAGTTGTATCTGAGGAAAGGTGCCAGATAACGGAGAAACCGTTCAGAGACCCCCTAGTAACCAAGGATCTATGCAAACAAGTCTAGGTGAATGCTGGAAAAAGGAAATTCGTTGCTAGAAATCTTTCCTTGCCAAGTACCGGCATTTCCTCGCGGGTCGTAATAGCAACAATGCTGTATCGGCTATGTGCAACCGCTGGAACAATGTGGCATTGCTCAAGTGAAAGATAAAAAAGAGGTTCAAAGATGAATTCGGACGGACCGAAAATGCCATGCAAGTCGAGGCCAGACAAGAGATGCTGGCAAATGCATGCTTCGGATCAAAGAACAAGAACCAAAACAAAGAAATAATTCGAGAGTAAGGATGTAGTGATATGTTCACGTGTCGGCATCAAAAAGAACAACTGTTAAAAAGCAAAGGTGTCGGCTATCCCAGACCGACGTTCTGGACCGCTGTTGGGACATACGCCACCAAGGGCATACACCAACAGCTAACTCCAGTATTTGTTTAGGCCACGGGAGCGATAGAAGCAACGGGAGGAGCAGGAACGCTGCCAATATCAACCTCCTGAGGAATCTCGCCAACACCGGGAGCGTTCTTCTGAGGGCAGTCACGAGAGATGTGTCCAGCCTCACCGCACTGGTAGCAAGTCTTGCCAGCAGTGTTGAGAGGACCGCCGTTAGGAGCAGTGCAGTCCCGAGAGATGTGACCGAGCTTGCCGCAGGCATAGCACTTCATGGCCTGAGCCTGGCAATCACGAGCAAAGTGGTTGGGACCACCACACTTGTAGCAAGTGGCAGGGCGAGGACCACCAGCGAAACCACCACGGCCGTAGCCACCGGGGAAGCCACCACGACCCATGGGAGCACCACGGCCCATAGTAGGACCAACAGGGTTGGGGCAGGCGCGCTACTACAGTCAGTTATGTTTCATTATTCAGATAACATCATCACATACAGCAAGGTGACCGGGCTGGCCACAGTTGTAGCAGCGGCCGCTGGTGCCAGTGCCGCTCAGGCGGAGGGTAGGGCAGTCAGCCTGGACGTGACCAAGACCCTGGCAGTGGTAGCACTGCTTGGCCTCAGTGGTTCGGGGAAGAGGGCATCCGTTGGACTCGTGGCCTTTTGTAAATTAGATCAAGTCTGTCTTGACAGACATATCAGTGGCACGTACCGGGCTGCTTGCAGTTGTAGCAGAGACGCTCAGCAGAAGAGCAGACCTCAGCGTAGTGGCCAACATTGCCACACTTGTAGCAAGCACGTCGAGAGAGGGAAGACATTTTGAAGATAGGTCTAAATCAATTAAGTTAGTAACAGTATTTAACACAACGTTCAGTTGTGCATTGTGGTGCTGCTGCTGCTGCTGTATATCTGTTGTCGTCTAGTCGCCAGTATGGATACTTCGTCGCAACTCCAGGGTACATCGCAACGGCATGTTCCATCGTATCTTTGGTCCAATATGAAATGATAGCATGTTCATTGGTTGAGGTCGAATACGTCCTTGCAAGGTATGAGACCCAAGGTCAACGGCCTCACGAGGGGCATTCCAAGTCGGCATGAACTTCGTAGTCGCGCAGATGTTGTTGAGGCTACCATAGGTCTTGTTTAACTCGGTTCCGATGTTGAAGGTTAGGATAATGTGATTGTCCAGTTGGTATTGTCATATGATAAGCTTTGACAATCCCAGATCGTCAACCCCGCACTTCGAGTATGCCGAGGGGCAACACCAAGATCAGAGCTATCGAGAGAACCGGGAGATATACAACAATATAGTTCGGACGCGGACCGTTGAAGACCGGAGCTTGCGCCGAAATATCGGGTCGTACACGGAGGCCAAATACGGAAGCCTTTTGGAAGTGGGTTGTTGTGAGGCCGAAGCTTCAAACGAGGGATTTCTTGCATCAACGGATCTGAGAGCGAGGAACGAGATTCGAATCGCAATAAAAAGTCGATATTGATAATGTATTCGATAAATTCGAGAACGGGGGCCAAAAGTATTTCGATATTTGTGATAGGCGAGGCGTCTCGAATATGGGCGTTGTTGTCGCGCAAAGGAGGGGCAGCAACACACAGCAGCAGCACAAAACCAAAAACCGCAATGCAGCAACGCAGCGCAAAAAACCACGCTTTTAGCATCAACATACCTTTATGGACTCGGAGGGAGCTTGATGGGTAGGTAGAGTAAGGAAACGGAAAAGTAAAAAATAACGATGATCCAATAAGTGGATTTTGTAGAACAAAAATATGAATAGGTAGGTATTGAGACACCGAAAAAGGGTACTTCAACACCAAGAGAAATTGTATTTGTTATGTATGGTTCTTTGTTTTGTCCTAAATGGAATGGGAAAATCGGAATAATTTTTCGATTAAAAAATTTTCAAAATGAGGGGAGCAACCGCGGGCACACACAACGCAAGGAGCGAATGACACACTGCCTGCCATTTCTTCACCATACGACTGGATAACCCCGACCCCCGAGACTGACACTAACGAGGCCTAACTCAAGTTACCACCCACAAACGAGTCGAATCAGAACGGAAACAGGATCCATTATGATGATTGTGGATGTTGGGATGTGGGGAGGGGGCGACCTCGACTCAGGCTCACTCAGCGACGCAACTGAAGTAGGAGTAGCCAAGAGGACTTTTGGACTAAGAGGGAGGGGGAGGGGAAATGGAGTTGGTATTGAATTGCCTCGGTGGAATGGATAAGCTGTGTAACAGTCACTGAACCCTGAGCTCTGAGTAACTGCGGAGCGTGATTTGTGATTATACACATCAGATGAAGTAGCTCAAGCATAACTCAGTCACTGTCAAAGAACAACTTATTCTCATGAATTCAGTCAACTGAAAAATCTCCCTTCACCCTCGCTCACCCTCACACGCTCTAAACGCGCTGAACTAAAAGGACAAAGGGCAGAGAAGCCACTAACTGGGGTCGAGTCCACGCTCCAATCAGGACTAACCTTTCCCCTTCACACCTCAACTCGAACCTCTCTGCTTTAGGAAAGAAGGGGAGTCGTTCATAAGGGAGGAAGGATGGTTTCCCATGCTGTGCCTGCCAAGCGAATTGATGAAGCACTGATTCACTTTAAGGTGTTCACGTGATACAGTCAAGCAACCTTAATTCTCCAACTGGCCTATCATGTAAACCCAGGATGCTGATGGCTTCAAAAGAATGTCATCTCTAATACAGTCTTTGTTCAAAGCTGAAATTTGGCTGAACCCTTCTTTTGGGAAGTTCTGATTTCCTGGCGCAGCTGCAGTTGGCAGGGGATATAACCGCGTGATGTCAAACCCTGGCCATGTCAACTCCACGCTTCTTCCGAGACTCGCCGCGAGATAATTACTCCCTGCTCAAACGAGAGGGATAACCTGATCGCAAGATTGAGCTACCACCACCTGTTGAGTATCACTGCGACTGGGTCTCTAATTACCAATAGACCAGCACAAGCAACTTCAGCTAAGGACAAGTCTGTAATATTGCTTTTCCTATCCGGTATCTCATAGGCTAAACCTCTAATTTCCTCTCAACGGCAATACTATGTAAAACTACGCTAATATGTGATATCAATACTGCAGATACTCATGTACGCTGAATTTAACAATGCCTCTGAGAGGCTCTAGGTCTTCAAATGTGTTTTCGCTTTCATATAAACCATGCATATTGCTCGCTATTATGCGCTGTGAAATTGTCCCTTAATGACTCCTACTCGGTTGGTACCCTAGCCACTCTACCAAGCTCTGATGGATGTGTTGGTAGTGGCACTTCAGTTGTTGGTGCTGTTGATCGAGGTTGTGCCTCGACTACATATGATATACCATCCTCAGACACATACGACGGTGGCCTGGGACCAGCTCGAGTATTAGGTCTTATTTGAGAAAGGTCCACGGCCTCATTGCGCTGCCAGAACAAACGATCTGGATCAACTCGCTGGAAATTGTTAGCGTCATCCAGTCAAAAGTTACAGGCTAGATACATACCACTGTCTCGCGCCATCGCCCATAGGCTGGTGGTTGTGTCTTTGTCGCTTCACTCTCCATACCCACAGCTTCCTCATCCTGCGCAAGAACGACAGGAATGGGAACAGGAGGTACGGCATATCGAGGCGCACGATATCGAGGAGGTCGATTTGCCCGCTCAGCGGCTTCGCGATTACTCTTTATTATTAGGAGACACAGTCTAATAAGACCGTGGAAGAAGAAGGCGGCGGCGAACAAGACGACAAGAATGAGCATGATGTTCATTTCGCGCGTGTTGACCTTGTGTGTCATGGAGAGGGCGAGGTCTATTACTGATCAGTATCGCAGTTTTTAAGCCTACAGCGCAATTGGGTCGTGACTTACAGACAGTGACGAGAATTATAAGAAACAGACCCGAAGTCAAACACCTCAGGATCTGTGCTCTCATGCGCCTCGATCGAACCCATGGTATACAGCCCAGGAAGAACTTGGGATGACGCTGGTGACTTCTTCGCGATCTATGGCGATCGCGTTCTCTTTCATGATATTCCCTCCGTCTTCGATGCCGTCTAATAGTTGATCCACCCAGAATCTCAGAGAGATGCGCTTCCAATGGATCTTGAGGGGGGGTTCGTTGTCGTCTTTGACGTCGCGATCGATGCGATTCTGAGGGTGTAGCCACAGGTTCGGGTCTCGTCGGCGATAGAGGTTCAGCGATGGGTAGAAGCGGTGCGGGAGAAGCTGTAGCATTGCGAATATCGTCGGATTGTGGTGTGGTGTTGTTACGTCCCCATATTCGCAGGAACCCTGGTACGGCAAATCTTCGAGAACCAGCAGGTCGATTCGTATTGGAGTCTTGAGACTTGACGCTCTCGATTTCGGCGAGCTGAGCTTGTCCCGTCATTGAAGCAGGCTCTCTCCGACTCAACAGCCGTGATAGGGGCGCAGGACTCGAACGAGGTTCTTGTATACTGTGTTGAGCTTCGACATCAACATTGACGTCGAGGTCGACATCGCCTCCATTTGGACTACCACCTCGCTCCATCCTTGATCGTTGTATGAGATCAGCACGAAGCCTCTCCATGTCAGAACGGTTCATGTTCATATTTCGACGGGGGCACCCGAGGCAGTATATAGATCCGTTACGACTCAGGTACAAGCGACTAAGGCGGCGCTATCGTGAATTTTCAACAAAGTCCACGGGAGAACATAAAAAAGAACATACGATATAAAAACTACACGCTCAACATGAAAACTTGTACCATCTCGGTCATTATTAGTAGAGAAGGAACAAGATATGCAAAGTAAATAACAAAAGGGTTCAAGAACCTGTCTTGACTTTTCTGAGACAACAACCGCAGAAAGGGAACGAACGAAGACGGCGACAAGAGACAATAAAAAAGAGGGTCAGGTTTCGATAAACTAGAAAATGGCCCCGGCTTCAGTCATGATCTAATTATGTTAGTGGGCAGATGGCCCGTCGTTTGTCTTGTCGTTTTCACACGAGGTTCCCTTTTTCGACCCCTTGATTGAACTGAAAGGTTCAAGGACCCATGTTCATAAACCTTAGCCTACGGGTCCTCCGAAAGGGACAAACCGCGTCAGGGATATCCCCCTCTGCAAGGAGGAGCCCATGTTCAGCTGTTGGAAAAGGTAAACAACAGGGATTGAGAATGTGATTACAGCTGTTTGCGGCGACGAATTTGGTTGGCTTCTACGAAATTAACCTGCTACAGTTGATAAGTTGCTCTAGCAAGATGGATTGGACGTCCCGTGCGTGTTGGAAAAACGTGGGAGGTGGAGATCTACAAATTACTATCCAGTCCGAGCTCTATCCAGGGGTAACCAGCTTCAAAGCTAGTCGATATGCGGCTGATTTCTTGAGGTCTACCGCCGACCTTCAGCTCAGATGATGTTATCACATATTTTCACAATTACTTTATGTTATGCTTAAATCGCAACAATTATATCATGAACTTATAACTTTCAGAGCCTTTTTGTCTTGTTGCAGCTGAACGTCTCGTGTTGAAGCACTTCGCACTTTGCTTGGAGCGCCTCACAGCCAACCAGGGGTATGCACCTGAAACCCAAGTATTCTGGCTATATGCAGCCGCAACCTCACCATAATTGGATAATGCCTGAGGAAGGGTCACATACGACTAGCTTCATTGGAAGATAACACCTCCCTCAAGTTTTGATCGTGTTTGATGTGGCTTGTTTCTTCAAGGGCTTACTATTAATCGACTATTTGCACACATAGCATAAACATCTATGCGTGCCCCTAGCTCATGTCTCATCTTTTGATACAAGCCATAAACGCCTCCTTCACCCTTCCCAATGTTATCTCAAGAACTTTGTACATGCTGTAATCCGCGTTTCTAGCCGTCTCCAGAGCTTCCCCAGATTGAATATTCATGCTCCCTGACAATATTTGAGTGAGTTACACGAAGCTCCCTGCGTCATCCTACTGGCTAAACTATTCAGCCATGGTGAGGGTGATGCGCTTCCCTTGGTACGCCCTCAAAGGCAAGCTTCAATGGCGTGAGAGTTACCAAAATACTGAGCCCTGACACGGGAGCGCGCATCTCGTGATTCAATATGTCAGGGAGCGGACGGGTAGTAGATTAGAATATCGGGTTATTGCTTATTCTCCTCATTTCAACTCGCCAAGAAGCATTGTGCGGTCTGACGATGCAGAAAGTACTGTGACTTTGTTAGTTCACCGCCTCGAAAATGATCAGCAGAATACTTACGAATAGGCTCCTTGTTTGGCGAGAACTCTGCACAGTTGACTGTGCCCTTGTGACCAGGCAGCTTATAAGCGAGCTTGCCTGTCTCGCTTGACCAGACCATGACTGTTCCATCTCCTGATGCTGCTGCAATTCTCTTGCCTTCTGAGTCCCAGCTTGCTCCGAGAAGGTTCTTCTCCATGCCCATTGTCGCACCGTCAAAGGTTCGGATGTGTCGTTCTGTTGGCGCAAAAGGTCGGATATCCCATGTTCGGACTGTAGAGTCCATAGCGTATGAGACAAGTGATTGAGAATCTGGTGAAACCCTCAATGAGGTGATGGTGTCTGAATGGCCCAGCATCGAGTATATCACCGACTTCTTGCGCAAGTCCCATACTCGAATATCGTTGTCGATGCCGCCTGCGTATATCTCGTTACCAGCCTCGGATACAGCAATGGCGGTAATGGGGAATTCGGTCTGGATATAGTCGACGGCGTTCTTCGATCGGGGGTCCCAGATTCCGATTGTCGAGTCGTCGCTACCACTGACAAGTATCTCCTCTCCTCGTCTGCTGATGCCCACCGTGTTGATAACCTCCTCATGTCCAACATATCTGCGGATTCGTGTGCCCGATGTCAAATCCCAGCTCGCAAGGTGCATGTCAGCCGATGCGCTGTATAGAATTTCCGAGTCGCGTGACCATTGTAAGTCCAGAATGGCACCGCGGTGGCCATTTAATATTCCGTAGTTTTCGCAATCGCCATAGGTTCTCCAAAGCACTACGAAAGTCAGTCCGTTTTCGTTCATGAAGTATTGTTCCCTGCTCACTTAGAGATCTATCCATTCCACCAGAAGCAATCAGGTTGCCTGTAGGATCGAACTTTGCTGCAAAAATCTCGCCCGAGTGTCCTGATAGTTCCATAACAGGAGCTTGAAGCCCGCTTGTTCTAGGCGCCTGTACCAGTCAGTCCAGCGACCTCAACAATTAAACAGGCTTTAACATACAGATTGCACCAGCGCATTGCTTGACGCGTTCAGACGCGCAAGAGCGCCTGTAGAAGAGTTGACATTCTGTCGCTTCACCAGCGACTGAGAAGAGCTGGGATCTCCATCGGCAGGACGTTTTTCGGCGGACATGACGAAGTTGAAAGGGTATCAAAGGAAAGAACTATTATATGCGACGCTGATTATGCAAATGCGCCAGCTTTTGTCGAGTTCAGGAGCTATCAAATGAGCTTGGAGCTTCCTGTTGCTTCACTTTTGACGACGGTGGTGGGCTTCATGCAAAGTAAATCGAGCTGCTGCAATTGATTGGTGGCCGGGCCGAAGATTGTTCCTGAGGTCGGTGTTTCAACCCTCCGTGCACCGACCTTCCAGAGCGGTGTTGGCGCTACTGCTTCACCTCCCTGGTTCAAGCTACATCGACATAGGTCTGTTTGCGTATGATATTGGAGTCTATTCCATTTCTACGATCTTTTGACTCCGCACCAACGTCCTGTCGATTGTAGAGCTCGGTCGCTGTCCTTGAACTCTTCCACAACCCCTTCCTTACAGCGCAGTAATGGCGGCCAACAAAGCGTCCCGCGTAGGCGAGGAGTAAGTTCATCATGATACCTAGTTCGGTCACCAAATTACGGTCAAATACTAACCTGGTTCTAGAATCTGGAAGTAAGCGATGATCGCTTGAGCCTACATCGAAACGCTTTTTAACAGACTAACAGAACTCGAATCGACAAGGTCAACGCTGAGCTCGTCACTTTGACTTACGGAACTATCGTCGCACAACTATGCAAGGACTACGAGAGCGACTATGCCGAAGTGAACAAGCAACTCGACAAGATGGGTTACAACATTGGTCTGCGACTTATTGAAGACTATCTCGCCAAATCCAACACCATGAAGCGATGCGCCAACTTCCGCGAGACGGCAGAGATGATCTCCAGGGTAGGGAGCCTTCCTGCGCAGCGTTAGGCAATGACTAACGATAGAACTAGGTTGGGTTCAAGATATTCCTCAACATTACTCCCCAAGTGATGAATTGGACAAGTGAAAATGACCAGTTCTCGCTGGTATTTGAAGAGAACCCCTTGGCCGACTTTGTCGAGCTCCCTGACGATGGTCGAGCGCAAGATCAACTTTGGTACTCCAACATTCTGTGTGGAGTGCTACGAGGTGCTCTGGAAATGGTGCAAATGCAAGTTGAAGCTCACTTCGTCAGTGACGTGTTGCGGGGCAACGACAGCACAGAGATGAGGGTATCGCTAATCCGATACATCGACGATGAACTGCCCCCTGAGGATGACTAAGAGACGTAAGAGGGGAGTTATGAATGTGATTATGTGATGACGATTTAACAATTGCAGGACACAGATGGATGGATGGCTATGAGAAATTCTAGATATCCAGGGGGAGATGCCCCCAAATGATCGTCGACGGCATAGACGGCGAGATTGTGCCGATCAGGACGATTGGCATGGAAGCAAACTTTCTTACAGAACAAACTTCGTTTAGCAATCTTGAGAGAGTGGCTTGGGATCATAGCACGTGTAGATACCCATGGAAGACAGCTGTCAGCCACGTGCTAGGCTGGAAATGCCGGTTAATTGAGCTCACGCCATAGTGATAGAGCCAGAATATTAAGATGAAACATTTTGCATTCGTTTCTGGGTAATGAAAGTTTAAGTTGGTATATTGCGAGCTGAAGTTTGTTTTATTAGAGCAACTGCAGTAATAAATGAAAGCGAGAGCACCAAGACAAACAGATCCTCCTGTCATTTACTATAGAGGCATCTGGATATTGATTTTAATTTCTCTCGGCTTCCACAAACCTACATCATGAGTTAAGCAGCAAACGACACAAACTCAATGTCAATTATTCACAAACGCGATTTAGATTGTATCTCAACCCCGCCGGACAATGAAGTGTTGAAGCTCCATCTCACAAGGCGCAGGCTTTAGTAGATTGATAACGTCAAATCCCCGCGAAATGACAGACGATCAATTGACAGTCAAACGGGATTTGTTAGTGGAGGTACCTAAGGGAGGCAAGAAAACTTAGGACCTTTGTCCTAAGTGATGAAAAGATTTAGGTAAGTTTGGGCAAATCTTAGCAGATCTTTAGCCCAGTTAATTTTGGCACCCTGGCTGAACGTCAGAAGTCTTCTTGCTCCCTGGGGGTACAGGCTCAGGCCATAATGACGGTGACATATGTGCCTGAGGCAAAGAGGTTACCTTTTTGTCTCCGATATCATGCCTGAGGTCTCAAGACCGGGGACATTTTGAGCGTCGGTCCAGAAATTACGCACCTTGGTCTGAGATTTACGTACTAGAATGTAACGCGACAAACTCAGCGCGCCAATGGCGAGGATGGCCGTCTAGCCCCAGGGCGCGTCCCTCAGATCAAGGGTCCATTGTGTGGGGTGACGCGACCTATGATCATTCGGGTCCGCTAATGTGCAAACCTTGGTGAGAGCCCCTGAAGAGCATCCACTACAGCTGCGGTCTAGGCCGCTGAGTGTCGCTGAGGACGCGCTGAGCTTACTGAGCCTCACAGGGCACGTTGGCAGCCCTGTGCTTAGCCCCGGTTAGAAGCCAGCCTCCCTTCTGTACATGTTCCATGTGCATCAAACCGGTCTCGGTAGTTTGTGGCCAAGTCGAATGTCTTTGAAAAGGATCACGGAGAACAATGAGGGACTAAAATAGTCAATTCTGACAGAATCTCGAGGGGTTTCAACGTCTCGCAATTGACTTCAATGTTCACGTTGGATTCGCTTATATGCATCCATTCGTTCTTATGATCGACCGTCCCGGTTTCTTTTAGCTGCAAGGAGTCAAAGCATCCCAATCTGGTGGATCTGTCTCCAGGTCCCAGGGAAACCTAAGCTTTTGACAGACGGCCAGCCTTGTAATTTGTGTTTTTACCGTTTTGGAACAAGGTCTGCTATACTTGTAAATTGCATGCATCTAACCATCGGAGGCGCATCACTCACTGTTGGTACCAATTCTGATATGCGGAGAGGGCTACATCACAATGCAGTAATTGAGAATGTCTAATAAAAAAAATAAACGTTTCACATGATTAAGTGACCGTTATTCATAGACTCTATCAATTGACAAAGTTTCAGGGAGCGATTCACAGGGAAGAAGGAAGAAGAAAAGTTTGACCGTCCTCCTCCTTTTCATTCACTGACTGGAGGGATTCCCACCGCCCAAATCAAGGACCGACCACGTTTTTCACCCACAACCTCTGTCTTGCTCCCTTGAAACTCACTCTCACACCTTTTCCTCCTCCATCAAACAAAGCACCTCATTTCTACTCGGCCGTTGTGCCATCTGCTTTGAAAAGCTTCAAACGGCGAGTATCCGTCGCGTTTGATAATTGCAGAAGAGTTTGACGTTGATCAACCTACTGCATCTATACTGGGTCTCCCGTCCTCCACTGTTCCCGTCCGTCTGGCGTTTGGATCGTTTCCGTTTGCTGTCGGTACTTGGATAGAAGGGCACTCAGCATATAATTTGGAGGTACCCGCTTGTCCTTGGAGGCGTTCCGTTGAATTCTCCAAGGTACTTGGTCTTTGCTCGAGCTGCCCGCAGAACCACAAGTACCCTCCCACCCCTGGCGAATGCCCAACCCCAGGCACTCGTTTTTTTTTACACTTAGCAACTGAGGCAGCGTCCATCACCTCAGGAAAGCACAAGCCCAGCGCCCACTTTCCACTCCCAGTTACCTCGACACTCCGCCAAATCCAACCTACACCAACCACACCATATTCATCCTACATACTTCTTATCTCCAACTCATCACCGCGACATCGACTTTCGGTCGACTATCGCATCGCGTAGTATCGCATTGCAGTGCACGCTACGCTTTTATCACTTCTGATTTCCTGCGATATTCCTTTCCGCCGATTGCCGACGCCTGACACGATCCTCCAATTCCCTCTGCTCGGGCTCGCCTCCCATTCTCGTCTCCTGGTCTCGTGGTTTCTCGCGATCCTCGTCCCCCGCCCGACCGCGCGCCTGGCAACTTGGACCGCGTCCACGTCTCCTTCGCTGGTGATCCCTTCGCTCGCGACCTTTGGCTTCACTGCCCGTCACGTCCACGTTGGGACGCTATCCAGCGCTGCTCCGCCTGGTGGCACGCCCCCGTGGCTACACGAGCCCCCGACTGCTGTCGTAGCTGCAGCAGAGCCTATAGGCCTCTCTGTCTCCTCTCCGGTTACTTCTGAACTGTCATGGCCATGAATCCAAACGTTAACATGGCCAACATGAACCCCATGGGTGGTCCTGTTGGAGGTGCCCCCATGCCCATGATGAACAACGGCGGCGTCAACCCCCAGGCTGCTGCGGCTGCTGCCGCCGCGTCTCGCCAACAGGCAAACGATAACCAGCGTAGCGTTCTTAACACCTATATCTACGAATACTTTATCCGCATGGGAATGTACGATTGCGCCCGATCTCTCCTTTCCAGCGATCAACAGGTCAACGTCCTCAGTAAGGATGGCGCGAACCGTCGTCGCGACGAGAACGGAAATGTCATCAACGGTGTTGGCGACGATCCCATGGATACCGATTCGAAGGACGACATCGATTCCAAACTTCCTGAAGACTTGCCGCCGCCGAAGCTTCCCATGCCTGCTTCCGACACCTCTTTTCTCTACGAGTGGTTCTCCGTCTTTTGGGACATTTACTACGCGCAGCGCGCCAAGAGCGGAAACAATACCATCAACCAATATGTTCAACATACTCAGGTAAGCCATCTTTTTCTTTCTGTCATGCTGCCACCCAGGGCACTCCAGTCTGGCATCTCACCCACTCAATGGATGATGGTGTCAGATTGACTGCCATGCCCCTAACATTTGGTAACCACTTTGGCTGGTGACCAATGCTGACCCTCGGTGGCAATGTAGCAGCAATCCCGGCTAAAGCAGAATCAACAGCAGGACCTTCTGCGACAGATGAGACCAGATATGGCTACGCAGCAATATCAGATGATGCGCAACATGCAGAACGGCGGCATGATGAACATGAAGCAGGGCAACCTTGCCCGCGCCGCCATGGCTAACAACCAAAACAAGTGAGCATCTTATTTCTCATCGTATTACAAGCCCCTCGCCTAACAGTGATACCCAGCCCTCAAATGATGCTACAGCAGGCCAAGCAGAACCAGATGCAGCGAGATCCCTCCGGTATGGATGGCCAAAACAGACCCTCTTCACCAGCGTCTGGGGAGAACGCTCCCTCGCCTTCCAAGCGACAGCGCATCGATGGCGCACCGTTCAACCCTAACCAGCCCGGCATGATGCCCAATGGCCGTCCCGGTCAAGGTATGCCAGGCCAGCAGATGCCCGGAGGAGCCAACACTGCCGCCGCTCAACAAACGTTACTTGCCAATGGCATCAATCCTCACTCATTACATCCTCAGCAACTGCAGAACTTTGCCGCCGCCCCGCCCGCCGCTCAGCAAAAGTCGATCGCGACCTACTCGCAGAACCTGCAGCAACACCATGGTACTCAGATGGGAGGCAAGCAGATGCCCAATGCCGTTCCTCAAGGCCAAGGATCCCCAATGATGGCCCAGGGTCCTGATGGAACCGCTCTCAATGCGTTCTACAACCCAGGCGAGATGGGAGGCCCAGGCGGCATCCGGGCGGGACCTGGAGGTCCCCAAAACGGAGGGGGAAGCAACCATGCCCTCCAAGACTATCAAATGCAGCTAATGCTTCTAGAGCAGCAGAACAAGAAGCGACTCATGATGGCCCGCCAAGAGCAAGATACTGTTGGCGGCAATGGCATGCCCCGAGAAGGCCAACCCGGACAACCAGGGGGTCCTGGACCCAACGGTCAGTTCCCGGATACATCGCCCCAGGCCATGCGACCAGGTGCCTCACCCAACCCTGCTGAGCAGATGAAGCGCGGCACACCCCAGATGAACAACTCTGGCATTCCTTCACCGGTCCCCGAAGGTGGTCAATCCCGTGGCTCTCCCAACCCGGCCATGAACTTCATGGGCAACCAGATGGATCCCAACATGGCACCTCACTTCTTCAAGCAGATGGATGGCAACATGGGAGGCCAACCTCCGATGAACGGCGGCATGCGACCCCCTAGCTCTCACCCTGGTCAACCCTTCAATGGACAGATGAACCAGCAACAGATGATGGCCGCCGCACGACAACAGCAAGGCCAGCCAGGCCAAGGGCCTCAAGGAAACCCCCAGCAGTGGCAGCAAGGACCCAATGGACAGATGGTGCCTCAGCAGATGCAGCAGCAAAGTCCTCAGATCCAGGGAACTCCCCAGCAACGATCGATGCCTCCTCCCCAAGCACCACCTGCTGGTGCAAATGGAGCCAACAGCAGGACAACAGCATCCCCTCAGCAAGCAGCAGCTGCACCGCCAACTCCTAGCCAAGCTAACAAGGCCGCCCCCAAGAAGAAGAAGTCCGAGACCGCCAAGGATAAGGTATGTCTAACTGGTGAACTGTACTCTGTAGATACTAACAAGTTCAAGCGCGCTGCTGCCAACAAGAAGGCGAACCAGAACCTCAACAATGCTGGTGCAACTCCTTCAAATGATAACAACGAGTCGCAGGATACTCCAGCTCCTGCGACACCCATTCAAAACGCCAATGCTGCCAACTTCAATAAGAATGGGCAAGCTGGCAACACCGGTCAGAATGGTCAGCCAACGACTGGCCCAGCTGCTAATGCTCCCGCAGCTGCAACAACCGCTCCTCCTCCTCAGCCACCAGCTCCTCAGCACGACCCCAATCAAATGATGGGTATGGATAACAGCTTTGGTCCATTGGTACGTGCAATCTCCTTAGTGGTGAAACCAGATACTGACTCTGCTTACAGTTTGATGGCGGCGGCATGGAGTTGGCCAACCCCCTCAACTCGGGTGACGTGCTCAATGACTTCGACTTTGATTCGTTCCTCCACGACCAAGATGGTGATAACTCAGCCTTCAATTTTACGGAAGCTTTCCCCATGGGAGATGAGATAGGAGCAGATTAATGACTTGCGAGAAGGTTTGGGTTGGCTGGCATTACACACACGATCTTGGGTCAGACTTAATCAGGCATCATTTGTCACGGCGTTCTGAGTGGAAACTATATCATGGTCATTCGGCGATCTGGTCCTGGAGGTGAAATTCCCTCATGTGGTGGCTTCAGGGGAAAAGAGCACTTTTTGTTTTTTGTTTATGTTACCGACGCTTCCGCGGTGTTTGACTGAAACAGGTTCGACACAACTGACATGGTTCTTTCTTTGGAAACTTCACATCGTCCTACTTCGTCTCTTTCCTCTCCTGTCTTTTTGTTGTTGTTGTTTTTGTTACCACACTTCGTCATTTTGCTTGCGGATATGGGGTACATGAGTGGAAAAATCCTGGAAGAGTTTCAGGAGATCTTATTTAAGGATGGAAGATGAAAGATGAAGGGTAGGAGGGATATCCCATTTGTGTAAAGTGTCGAAGTTTATTTATCCGGTGTATCCTTAAAGCTCACGGCGAAAAATTACATACCACGCTATTGTTGTCGTCCTTTTTTGCTTTTTTTTGTTTGTTAAGACAGACGTCACATTTTTTTCCTTTTTCCCTCTATGGTGGTTTGGTTATTTGCGGTTACTTTTTTTTATTATCTTACGAGTTGACATGGTGTCATTTGTCAAAGATCAACATACTATCATAGTTACTGTCTCTCAGGTGGTGGAATAAAACGTCCCTTTGTCTTGTTCGATATTGAGAATGTGATGTTTTCTATGTGGCTGTCTAGGTTTGGCTGTTGCTGGATGGTTATGCGCTGGCTTACTGGGTAAGAAAACTTCTGACTTGTAGTCTAAGTGCTAAAATACCTAAATGATCTAAAGCTCTACTAAATCTATTCCAAACTTACCTAAGTCTGTTCATCGTTTAGGGCTCGATATGTTGAGGTTTCTTGCCTCTCTTCGGCTGGTTGTGAGGAGTGTGTCGAGTCTACATTTCAAAATATCTTTCCGTGGAGGGAGTCACTTTTCATGGATTGGCTGACAGTACATATAGACAACGCGGCATCACGGCCATTCGGAGCATGTAGGCATTACTTCTGGTTTATTGATAGTTATGCCGAACCTTGTCATACATCTTCCGGTTTCCCTTGAGCGGCTCTCCCGTTCATCTCCTGAGCAGCCTTGATAATATATCGCATCCTTGATGCTACCAAAAGAAACTCCGTGCCGTGAACAGGGTTTCACCGCTTCCACCAAAATTAACTTTCTTCCTTGGCCTTTGGCATCTTCGTTCTCACGAACTCGCTTGTTGGGTTGCTCCTCATGCAGGGCGACAATACTAAGACGCTCAATAGCTGCGTTGCAGCTCATTTCGAACCATCGGCAGCTCTTTGCCCTGTTTTCTGAACTCAGTTCTCGCGAACCCGCTTGCTGGGTCGTTCCTCTTCTGAGATAGCACCATCGGAATGTTCAGTTGTTCTGCCGAGGTCCTCGACGAGGGTGTTTGCGAGCTTGAAAGCAGCATTTGCGTGCTTCTGTGCTTTGATAGAATGGCGGCGAATTTCCTGTGCTTTTCTTCTCAATTCATCAAGATGTCGATCGGAAATTTCCTAACTTCCAGTGGTGTCCTTGTGAAGCTGAGTTTGGAACTCGGAGGTTTCTTGTTTGATGTCACTTCGAACACTTGTAAGTTGTTCTCCGTCGTTGTCGGGGGAATTGTTGTTACTGAACATCTCTGGCCGAGCCTTGCGCTTGAGAGTATGATTATCTTCTCCACTGTCCTGCTCAGCTTTCACTTTGGGAGACTGAGGTTGGTCCGCGGACGACATAGTGACAGGTTCAGGACCAGGGACCCGAGGACTAGGTTTCTGGCCCATGATGAGAGAGAACTCTCGCTCGGAGTCAGCAAGACGTGGATAGAAAGGTCTAGTGGGATCGAGATCCATCTCCCACAGGTCTGAGAGGTCCCGATACATTCCCTTGAGAGCTTCGCTGAGCGGAAACAGAGCCTGAATGATGAAGAAGTAGGGATAGTATGGTCCAGCAAAGGGCGAGGGACATGGCGACGTTCCCTTGAAGTGCTTGTAGCAAGGATGCCCACTGGCATTCCTGGCCGTGCTGTTCCATGTGCCTCTCTTTAGATACTCGCACAGCTCATTGATCGCTCGATCTGACATGACCTCCTTGGCTTTTGCGAAAGATCTCAGGACCATGTAGACTTGGGTTCTGCGCCATCTTCTCTTGCAATCGTTGCTGTCGTTTTCCCATTTCGCTCTGAACATGTTGATATCCAGGGCGTGATCGCATTCAGAAACGAGCGCGGATAATGGTAGGCGACGCGACACGGTGCCTGGGGGATGAGAGTCTCTAGGAGGAGAAGACATGGTTTCCCGAAGAAAACTGAACCAGAGTTAGTCGCAAGAAAGGAGAAAGATGAGAAGATACTCACAAGTGAAAGCGGAGGGATGTTGAGAGTAAAGCAGTGCCAACCCTTGTAGTCTGGCTTGGAGAAGGCGAGAGAAATTTCTCTTTGTGAGGAGGAAAACAGAAGAGAGGACCCAGAAGGCAATGCGAGAGAAGACAGGCTGGTTGGCTAAAAGGGGTTTCAGAGCTTGCCAGTGCTGTACAACTGTCAGTCCAAGACTCATCAAAATCTTTCTTAGTAACTTGTTGAGAGCAGCGAATTGTAAATAACCACCCATGGCAGACTCATTTTTGGAATGCTTGCTTATTCAGTCCAGTGACATGCATACAGCTAAGTACTAATCTATAAGCAACACAACGTCACGATCGTTCACAGAAGATGGGCATTATCTCTAGATTATTAGGAATCATAACATAACTCATACATCATTAGTGTCTTCATACGCAGCTCTTCTGCGACTGAACTCATAAGTCGTTTCGTATTCGTTCACCTCCAGCTCCCATCTGGGGCCTTCCCGCGCCTCTACTAAGCAGCTTTGCTGATAGCCCATCCGTCTAGGTGCCCTTCCTTGAGCTAAAGCACTGTTCTGTTGATCCAAAACTCTCTCCGTACCTCTTCAGTGACTTAGTTTTCACGAGCTCTCTTGTTGGTTCGTTGACCATCGTGAACCGCAAGACCAGAACTCTCAGCAGCAGCGTTGAACTCCTCGATAGGGTCGCTTAGGAGGTTCAAGACCTTGTTCGATTGCTGCTGCCCAAGGGCCAGAAGACTTTGGATCTTGGAAGCGGCCTCGAGCGCGCGGTTGGAGAATGATTGAGACTGTGAGATGTGATGATGGACCTGCTTAGCCTTCTCCTCGTACTTGCTGAGAAGCATCTGCGACTCGCGGTACCGGTGATGCATGTCTTGAAGCTCTTGCTGGGTTTCATGCAGCTGTTGCTGCGCGTCTTCGAATCTTCGCTTGTATCCGAGGTTATTGAGCTGGAAGTCTCTGTCTTTGACTGTTTGCTCAAGGTTCTCGATGTATTGCTCATATTCCTTGAGCTTTGTGTTAATGTCGATTAGGTATGGGCTTATATCACTTAGGGAGTCTGCCGCTGTCCAGTGACTGTTGTTGGATGTGCTGGGGCCGGGTGTGACGGTGATGCTGTCCCGGGTGATTGGGGATCCGGTGGTTCGTCTTCCAGGTCCGGGGGATGCGCCGGCGACGATGGGTGCGGCGGGAGATGGGCGAATGGGAGCAGTAGTTCTTCTCGCCTGCTTAGAGAGCATGGGGTGGTTGCCCAGGAGCAGTCGGAGCTCTCGCTCAGAATCTTCCAGGCGAGGGAAGAAAGGGACACCCGGAGTAGCCTGCATACCCCAGTGCTTAGACACCTCCGCATACAGCTTGTCCACTGCCTCAAGAATACCTCTGCCTTCGGGGTCTGGGACGAAAATTGCCTGAATGACAAAAAACTGTGGGCAGTAGAGCGATTTCTTGAATCTGCCTTTCCCCATGAAACGTGCATACGCAGGATGGTTGCTGGCACGCTTCGCATCGTGAATCCATTCACCCTGTCCCAGGTACTCACAGAGCTCAGCGATAGCTTGCTGAGACATGAAGTTCTTCGCCTGATCAAAAGCAGCCCGGACCCTCGCAATCTGGTCTTGAAGTTGAACAGGATCCTCGCACTGATCCTCTTCAAAGGGAAATGAATAGGGGAGGGTATTTTCAACCTCCGCCGCAGGAGGGCAAGACGCCATAGTATCAACCAAGTCTCAGAGATAAGAGAAAATAGTAAGGAGAAAAGATCTAAAAGAACAGCTACTATTAGTATTCAGTTTAGGAGAAGGTAAAAAACAAAGGTAATATACTTACCGCTGCTTGCAGATAGCGATTAAGATGCAGTACTACCCTCGTGCATTCACTCGGCTCAAAGCAAAAGAGGACTTATCAAGAAGCAAACAAAACTCAAAGAAAGAGAAGGATTGTGAGATCCGAGTATCGCGTTTATAATACGTATTAAAAGATGATGTTTTTGGGTAAGTGCCTGGACTGCCTTTACTGTTTGCTGGTGATATGCTAAAGGCTAGCAAATATAAATAATCACCATTTGGAAATAACTGGTGCTATAGCAAGCCGGAGTTAAAATCGGCCCGGAAGCAAACTGCACAGGACTTCCCTTCCTCTGGCAAGTGAATGTATAAACACCTGCAAGGCCAGATCTGTACCTTGGCTAGGTAACTAGAAGTCTTGGGCGAGTGGCTGTTGATACTTAACCTCCTGCTGATGTACAGTCACCCTGTAAATCAAAGGAGGCCAAGGCCTTTTGAAGAAGTATCTGATTATGTTCAAGATATATATATGTACGTAGGTGCGGCATCGACCCCCCAGCTGAATCTAATAACTCCCCAACCATGCATTTTTAGAACACTTGTCTATGCAGTTTAACGATGTATAGATATCTATCCATAGGTAATATGACATCACGGTACTTCAGAGGAAATATGTATTATCCCTGGATTATCAGGAGCTATAAGAAATAAAACTCATACATCATCGCTGTTCTCTTGGACAGCTCTCCTGGGACTCGACTCATAAGCCATTCTGTATCCCACGTGTCATTTTATTATGCCTGTCGCTGATCATCCATGTTACCAATAAAACCTTTTTCCTATACCTCTGCCTTCAACTTGCTCCTTGGCTACTCAATTCTGACGAAGCCGCTTGGGTTCCTCGCCATCTTCGATTCCAGCAGCGGGACGCTTGGTACCCGTTTTGACGCCTTCGAATCGGGAGAAGCTTTGTTTGGCAATGCTGTTAATGCATTGCTGCCGCATAGCGCTTTTCGCCTCCCGCTGTTTATCGAGCTCTATGATTTCCATGGAGATCTGTTGGTGGCGTGCGACATGGGCTTTTGTCTGGTCTTGCTTGTCTTCGAGTCCCTTGGCATATAGCCGCGAGTCCTCAAGCCGACGCTGTGTATCCTGCAGCTGGTCCTGTGCGTCCTGGAGCTGTTCTTGCCTTTCCTTCAGCCGGTTCTGTGACATCTGCGTTTGATGCTCTGCATGTCGCCTAAGCTTGGTTTGGTCTTGAACCTGTCGCTGTAGGTCCGCATTTCTTTGCTGGGAGTCTCTGAGCTGATCTTGCAACAGTTGCACCTCTCTGTCCCGTCCTTTCAGTTGGGACTCGGTGTTGAGTTCCGCTGAGAGTTGTGCAGCAGCTCTCAGGTAGCCGTCTAAGACTTTTTGTTTGTTGTTCGTATTGTTGTTGTTATTGAGAGCGGCGGCATGGCCTTTGGCCTCTGGGATAGTAACATGGATTGTGTTGTTGCTGACTTGCCTCCCGACTTGAAAATCTCGCCATCGGTAGTCTCCCATGATAAAGCGACACTCCTTATCAGGGTCCGCGAGACGCGGATAGAAAGGCTTGTCTGAAGGGATAAACTCCCCCCAGTGTCCCGACAACTCTTCGTACATCCGCTCAACGGCATTACCGATCTGCCTACCATTCAGGGTATATATCGCCTGAATAACGAAGAACTGTGGATAGTACAGTGTCTTTTTGTAGCCTCCGCTGCCAACAAACCTCTTGTAGGCTGGATGACTGCCTGCATTGGTATGATCTCGAACCCATTGACCAGTTCTGAGGTACTTGTGCACCTCTTCTATTCCGTCCTTCGACATGTACTTTTTTGCCTCTTCGAAAGAAGCAAGGACACGAACGACCTGGGCCCGACGCACCGCAACACTGCCGCCACGCTGGTTGACCTGCCCAGTTTGCTGGGCGACAGTAAGGGTATAAGCAGCACCAATAGGCTCCATGGCATTGATCAGGTGGATTCAAGTATACAAAAAGGATGCCTGTAAGGCAGTCTCTGTTAGCATCATGCCTTAGAAAAGGTGGGGAAAGGAATATAACTTACTAGTATTAATGTGAGGGTAGCGGATCAAATGCAATACAACTTTGTGATTTCGGTTTCAACTTCAGATTGAACAGACCGTTTTGCATAAGAGAAAACTAAAGGCGAGGAAAGAAAGGTGAGATTCCAATGTGATGTGTGTTGAGTGAGATCTAGGAGATCATTTGAGAAGAAGTGCTTGCTTGATTTATGTTGGCTGCATATGATATGCTGGATTTCATTGAGGGTGAATCACCGACGTTTTGAAAAGCTTGGTGCCAAAGCCTAGCCGATATCAAATATGCAGCTGGCACTGAAATAGGTCACTGCTAGATCTCAAAGAATAAGCATTAGTTGAGGTAGGGATGCCCTTCTCTTTGCTGAGACTGCAAGCTGTTGTGACAGTGGCTGATGGTGTACTGAACATCTAGCTCATATGCAACTAACGTATATTAAGTGATAGGATAAGACCTTGCGAGGAAGTATCTGATCATGCGATGTTCATGATATATATGTATGTACGTGCGGTAGTGTATTGACCCCTGCTGAATATAATATGACAACTCCCCAACCATGCATTTCGGAACGCTTGCTTATACAATCCAATTACACATGCAGATCCGTCTACAGCCAAGTCCTACTCATACTGAGTCTCTTGTAACTGCTCACCCTCGGTTCCCCATACTCTCTCGCCGTACTCAACCCTTCAGACGTCTCCTTTCCAGGCGAATTATCCTGGAAGAAATAATGGTTCGCACTCGGCGCGTACGCAACCTTCCAAGGAACAACAAGATGTCTCTTCTCAGGACCCCCTCCACAACTGCCGTGGAAGGAATTGCTAGGCGGACTGTTGATCGCCAGGGAGAACAAGTTCTGCGGCTCTGTGAAGTCTGTCACTAGCCCGGAGCGCATGATGAAATAACCCAGACAGAATAAATTGATGGCGAAGACGAGAACGAGAACGACGTAGAAGATATTCTGCCATGGCTGAGTGTGTCCAGATGTGTACTCTTGAGTGATGAGAGATGCGTTAAAGGGTTGGGGGAATCCAGGTGCTGGGATGACGTTCTCGGGATATGCTTTTGGGTCCTGATCCCAGTAATGGCGGAAAGGCGTGTCGATGGCGCTGATCATGATGAGAGAGCTGGAATACACAGCGAGAGCTTCAGCGAGTGAGGGATAAGAGGCGGGCATCTTTGGTTCATGAAGGGCGAGTTGGGTGAGGATTCGAGCGTTGGAAGCATTGTTGTTAACAGCGCCACCGTTGAGATCCATAGACAATCGCCATTGATCAGCGAGCCACTGTTGTCGTCAGTATTGTTCATACAAGGGATAAGGTGAGACTTACCTTCCAGTCAAGAGAGGGAGCAGACCAGCCTTGGTCTGAAGGGAATGATCGTCGATAAGCGTTTTCGTCGGCGTCGTCTTCGCAGTGGGCTTTCATGCTGGCACCGGCGATACCGGAGATGTTGAACTCGGTGGAACAGTTGGGAGATACCCATGATCGAAGTTGACAGACGGTGTAGTTCTTGTTCTCGGCTGTTTTGCCGAGGGTGTAGATGGCGTCGGCTGCATAGACGGTTGCGTTGGTGAGGAGGTTGAAGTCAAAGGGGTACTACACACATTAGCTATGGCCCTGAGGAATAGGTGGATGGCTTACCATCTGAAAGACGGGAGGACGGCGCTCGTATTTTGGTCCCCATCTGAAGATATCATCCACGACAGTTCGGTTAAGATAATAGTCCTTGTTCTTCCCATCAAGTGGCTGGGGAACCTCGCCTGTCCAACCAGGCCAACCCGTCTTTTGACCAGGGATATCAGTGTTGTTGACCTTGGCATTAGGCCATGTCGTGTAAACAAGAGGCGCAAGTTCCTTCTTCTCCATATCGACACAAAGAACATTGACAGACGGTGAGACAACTCCAGCTCGGACAGTGTACTCTCCAACTCCAGCAAGATCGTCAGGTTGAAGAATTCCGTTCACTTTGAGAGTGGAAGCACCGTACACGCCTGGGTGAGGAAGGGCGAGAGTGACATTGTTGATGATACGTCCTGTTTCCTCAAACTGTCCTTCAACATCGCCGTGTTCTGTCTCGATCCAGGAAGAGTACATCGTAGTGTTATCGAAGAGCAGCGTCGTTCCACCAGGCCGCTTCTTCAAATCGGATGAGATTTCGGTTCCGTTTTGGTTGAGGTTCGTCCACATATTCATATAGTTGAGTAAATTTCTGTAAGATTGCCCTGAGAACTGAACGTTCATGCAAGACTCGGCGGCATGGATATCTTCGGTAATGTTGAAAAGATATGGGCAATCCTCGCGCACATAAGCTGCATTGGCATATGAGGCTCGCACATATCCAGCAAGCTCCTTATGCTCCCAACTCCCAGACTTCAGTTTCGGTGAGACCATCGCGTCAGAAGCAGTAGTGTAAAACGCAGCTGCAATCGTAGCAGTAAGCGACAACATCCCCAGAAGCGTCAAGGACGAAGAAGGCAGTGTTTCGAAGTGAGTGATAAGAGATCCAGGCTGAATAACCCAGTTCCTCATCGTCATCTCAGCAAGTGACATGCCATGCGCTTTTCGAATAAACGCTCTCCGAGTGAGAACTTGGCCTAGGCATGAGACGAAGACGGTGACGAAGGACATTTCGATGGTCTTTGCTAGTAATGCTGCGAGGGTCGTTGCTGTTGATGGTGAGAGGGATGCTCCCGAGGCGATTTTGTGGCCCCATCGTGGTTGGAGAATGGCCGTGACGAGCCAGATCCCACTGCCGACTGTTGAGTAGACAGAGAGGACGTAGATAGTAATTGAGAGCCAACTTGATCTTGGCTGGTGAATATCTCGTGTTGTTGAGCAGCCCTTTGGAGGCTCAGCTATTCAAGTAAGTTTTCATACTCCAACAACAAAATGAGAAACTTACCAAACTTCTTATAAAAAATCTCATCATCAAACTCATCATCCATAGCATCCCCCCTCGGTTCCACAATCTTAGGAAGTTTCCCCCCATCACTCGTCTTGACTTCTCGCTCCATGGTCCTAGGCATATCCTTCTTCTCATCACCACGCGGCATAGACGGAGCCCAGATCTCAGAGTACGGCTCAGGCGTTCCTTGAGAATCAGCGATTCTTGGACTAGAAGAAGAACTCCCGGCTGGGTGGTGCCCGCCGAGCAGGTTATGAAAGGAATGCGGTGTCTCAGGAGGACTGCTCATTTTTGCTTCCGGCGAGGGGGGCACGCCGCCGGAGTTGTGAAGATCGGCCATTTCGTGGGGCATTAGATGATGATAGCCGCTGCCAGTGATTCCGAATATATTTATACCAGAGGGCTTGCGAGCGTGTATGTCCTCTGGCTCAGCCATGGTGAGGAGAGGTTCCCTTTTTCTTTTGTGTTTTTTTTTTTTTTTGTTTATGGAAGAATTTGGACCTGGAGAAGCTGGGATGAGGGACCCATGCTCAATCCTGTCAGATTGTGATGCGGTGTTGGGTCAATTCCTTCTGCAGGGATCGCTGGGCGAAGGGTGGCGCAAGCGGTATAGAGAAGAGGGATGTAAGACACAAAGAGAGACGAAGTTTCAGATCGGCAAAGAGTGATGATCTTGGATTACGGATGTGTTCGTGCGCGGTTGGGCCTCACACGCCGGCTACCTTGGTTAGCCTACTTCGTAGTGATGAAGAAGTCAAGCTCTGCTTTTCCTCGAGGGAAATAAGAAATTGCCAAGATCGTTGGTCAAGAAGGATTGCTGAGAAGATGATGGAGACCCAATTTACTATACAAGGATATATAGCTTAGCTGCAGTAAGGCTGAGCTTGGTCAAGTTAAAAGGGAGGCTGACTGAAGTCTGAGTGGATAAGTTACGATCGATCGCAAGGCTGGTTTACAACGTGGCTCTGAGTCTCTCTGTAAAAATAGTCTTTTTAATTCTTACGTCTGTATCCGTAGTTGTGTTACCGTCCTCTCGAAAATGTCCCAGATGAATGCAATGCAATGCGAATCATGCCTGCAGATCTTATCTTAGCTCGGCATATCAGCCACGTCAAAGAACGACACCATGTTTCACATCTCAACGTCGTTATTCCATGATGAACGCTTCAATCGAAGAACTACCAACCTCACAAACAGATCAGTTCATGCTTCTCTCCCGGACAACGACAGTAGGGCTGTGTAACTGTCTGCACCTCGCCTCTGATTCCCTATATTGTGGATCAGACGTTGCTGACAGTATCCACAGATGGTCCTTTTTTATTACATCCTAAATCCTAGGCGACAAAAAAGCTTGGGTAAATATAGGAGGTTTTTGGACAAGGTGTTTTTGGCACCCTTGTTGAATGCATGGTTATTGAGGTGCTGTCAGCATGCCAAGGCTTTGCGTCGTGTGCTACAAACATGAACTGATTGTCTGTTGATGATGCTATAGCATAATTTCGGAGACTTTATTACGGTTGTTTTATACGTAGAGGTGAGAATTCGCGGGACCTAGGGGAGCTATTTTGAGATGTTTGGCCCCCCTAGTCTTGTTAGTGTTGTCCACTATCGTGGCTTAGACGATGATCGAGGACGGTTTTGAGGGTGAAGTACATAAGCTTGAGAGCTGACGGGATTGGCTTCTGAAGTTCTTCCTTCTTTACATGAAGAGAGACAAGATGGGGTTGGTGTGATTACCAATTGATAGATGGCCAATTCTTCTTGAACTTGGTGAGAAATGTGTCTAACGCGGTATGGAGATAGGGTGTAAGCAGAACCGCACGACAACGTTGTGGTCTCACCAGGAACTCTGAGACCTTTTCCAATGGCTAGATAAGTGAGGAAATAGTAAGGGAAGTTTTCTTATTCAATTTTCCATACAAATTGTATACCTGAAAAGTCGTCGTCGTCGTTTTAGCCTTATAATCTTGAAAGAGGTAAGCATAGATTCAAGCTTAAC